GGGGGGGGGGGGGGGGAGCTGCAGGCAGCGGCGGTGGCGCACCCTCAGGTTGTCCATCTGCAAGAGGTGTGCAAGATATCAGAGGCGAATGGGGGAGACGTCAGCGCTTTGTAGGGTTGCTGGTCATAGATGTGCGGCGGGGCACGCAAGGTTAAGTGCATGCCATGCGCCCAGCCAGCAGTTGCGCAATGAAGGTGCGGTGCGCGACCGTGGCGCACCTTCTCCTCCATCAGGTTCTCGACTTCAGCAGAATTAGCCACAAACCGCCCTTGGATCCTCTGCGCTGAGGCGAGGCTTGCTTCAGTGTTGCACATGATGACAGAGCTTGCATATCCGCCCGTCATGCTTGTTTGACAGTGCAGATGCCCGGTGGCGCAAGCATTTCGCAAGCCTCACCTGATGCTTAGCGTTGAGGCGCCTTTCCAGGGCAACATATCGGTCAACCTGCACAGGTGGCGGCAGGTGGCAGTTGAGAGCGCCCGATACGTACAGTATTGGAGCGCAGCAGCAGCAGGAGCAGCAGCAACAGCAGGAGCAGCAGCAACAGCAGCTGAGGCGTGGTGTCGGTGCGCCAAGACCGTGTTCCTGTCGCTGCAACCCGCAGCTCACCTCCTCCTCCGACATGCTGTCCTCTTCCTCCGACATGTGGTCGTCGCTTGACAAGTGGGGTGGGTTGTGTGACATTCTCAGGTCAGTCTAGGTGATCTGATCTAAAAAGAAAGAAAAACGGGAGCACAGCGATGGCAGGAGAAGGAGAATACTATACTGAAGCAAATATGGGGGGTGCGAAAGTGCAAAAGGCTTATAAGTAGGAGCTGCCGGCGTTTGACTTCCCGTTCAGGCGCGGCACCGCGTTTCGCTGCCAAGCCAGTCCGGAAGTAGACAGTAGGACGGTTTGAATAGATGAAATATGAAGATTGGTTGTAGCACAGGTGAAACCAGGGGTCGCTGGCTTGGCGGGCATGCTGAGTCAGCTGCTCCATGCCGGCGGGGGTGCGTGGGTGCAGCTGAATGCATGTACCTGTACTCATGTATATGAATGGCACCTCCTGTACCTATCTGCATTTGAGATTGGGTGTGTGCTCTTGCGTGTGTTATCATGCGATCCGCGCGCGTTCTCGGACAGCAACTGGCCCTGTGCTCCATCTGCTGCAGCAAGCGTTTCCGAGCGCTGCAGCAGCTGCTCAAACCCTCGACCTGCCAGCACTGGCCTGCCGCAAAAGGGCGGGGCAAGCATGGGGTAGGTCGCTGATCACGGCAGCAGGCTGTGCTCCTGAATCCTGCCGCTTGTGCGATAAGGCAAAGCCGGCAACGGCAAGGCAGCAGGTAGTGCTGCAGACCGCAAGACCTTGACGGTCACCGCCACCTCACACTCCTCACATCAATCAGAGACGCCATCGCGAGACGGGAGAGAGAGAGAGAGAGAGAGAGAGAGAGAGAGAGAGAGAGAGAGAGAGAGAGAGAGAG